ATTCATCTGTATAAAAAACATTACCTTTAGAACTACTGGTCCAGTCTTCATCATCATCAAAATGGGCATCTCCTCCATAGTTTGGTCCAGGAGGAAAAGCATGAGCCAGCAGACCAGAGGGTCCATCAAATGGGTAGAAGTCTCCATGCTCTACAAACAGAAGGGAGAGTCAGAATCTGAGCATGCCCAGTAGAACCTGGCACAGGTGCTTGCTCAACTTTTGTTAAATGCTATAAACTTAATGAATGACTAGAAGAAGGAATAAAAATAGAACCGATTAAGGATTAGAATATTAAAACATTTCAGAAATGATTCTGCCTCATTACCTTTAGTTCCAAAAGAGATCATGATGTCTGCTGTGCCATCATGGAGTCTGGTAAAATTCAAAGGTGTCACATCGGACCACACTTTGAAGGCTTTTTTAAATGCCTTCTCCACTTCAGAATGAGTCATATCAGGGGTATAATTCACAATTCTATTCAACAGAGAAAGTTTCAATTAAATTTTGGAAAGTTAGAGTTATTTTACAATACACTTTCTTGAAACATTGCTTTTCAACTAAAATGCAATGTCTTTTTTAAAAGTTCTACTATAGGTAGAATTTATTAGTTATGGTGATATCCAAGGATAAAAAGTTAAGAATTCAATTAGATATTTGAGCATCTCCATATGTTTGACCATGTGGCTTCTTAAAGTATTCAGACATATAATAGAACTTATTTTGCATGCTAAAAGTTTGGAATTATATCAATATAGCCAAATTAAATAAAATACCTCTGTAAAACTTCTAACAAGAGTGGAACCTTTTATCTTTAGCTCTATGATAATAAATGCGACTGATGTCCTATTTTTGCAAGTTTTATTGAATTTATTTTTACTTTTATTTTGGTTTTGAGATGTTCCCTGAAAAGTAATGTTGGATTATAACATTACAATTATTGATGTTATGAGACATTCCCAGCAGCAGTCTTAAAACCATTTCTAGACTTAAGTACTTAACTTCCAATTAAATATTTAAGGTCGACTTAATATTAGACATTTACTACCAGAAGAAAAAACTAGCAAATATCAAGGAAATGTAGTTCTGTCATTTACCTGTAGGTTAAATTCGTTTGGGACCATTTGAGAGTCCGAGGGAAAACATTGTATTCGCCCACATCAGGGACCCCGCATCTTGGTTTTTTCATGATATCTAAGGTGCTATCGTCCAGTTTGCCCGTCACCTCTAAGCCGAAGAAAGACTGCATTTCTCGGAGCCTGTCCACCATGGAGCTTGCTGCATTCTTCTTCAGGATTCCCGCAAGATTTGAAGGATGGTAATAAGATTTCAAGTAGTGCTGAAAAAAAGAGACCCAAATCAGCTGGTTTTAAAAGGAGAAGGAATTTAAGAGCTGGGCTACATCCTCAGGATGGGTAAGTTACTCTACCTCTGCAAACTGGAGGTCTTCCTCAGACAAGTCTTCATCATCATCACCACTGGGGAGGGGCAGGGCCCGACAGTGAGTCCAGCTCAAGAGGAGGAAGGCAGCCAGGACACCTGGGTGCATCTTGAATGGCTGTGCCTGGAGTCTGCTGCCTTTCCACTGGCAAATACCTTTACTTTTATAGGCCTGCGATGTTGAGTCATCATTCCTGGGTGTCTCAACTTCCTCAGCAGTCAAAGGTAAGCATGCTTACATGGCGACTTTTTTTTTTATTATTTTCTTCCTCCCGAGTGTGGTTTGTGGCAGAATTTGAGGGAAATATAAAATGAGGGCATCTCTTGTTTCAGCAGAGTCACAAAACCATCTGGCAAAATAAACTCCCTCAGCATATTTATGGATACTGTGGGAAGAAGCAGAGAGTAGTACATTTTTTCACTTCACTCTGCAAAAATGTTTTCTTCTTTCTGTAGGAAAGCAGCTGCTTTGGCTCTTTCAGATAAGAATATCAAGGTGATATGTTTACTCCCATAAAGAGAAACCTAGACCTGCACCAAGAATGCTTACAGCCTTCTGAGTTCTAAACTTCATTCCCTTTTAAGAGCAACTGTAGGGAGAAATACTGTTTACCTGAGGGCTGTGGAATTGCACAAGAACCAAGCTTCAATCCTCAGATGTAGTAAGGGATTGAATCCCAAGGTCAGATTTACACACACTGGCATGCCCTTTCAATGAATATGGAGTCCTGCACAAATTTCCTACAAGTCCAGGAAGAAGTAGAATAATTATAATAGCATACAACAACTCTAATGATTAGGAATATATATTGAGAGATCGCTGCATACTACATTTAAAGGCCATTATCTCTTTTAATCCTTACAACACCCTAGGCAGGTACTCTGGGAAGGCTTGTTTTCCATCTTACAGGTGAAAACTATGAGACGAAGAGAAGGCAAATGTCATAAGACTATCAGAATTTAAACCCAGGACATGTCATGGTACTATCAGAATTTAAACCCAGGACAGTCAATTCAACACTCCATGTTCATAAGCACTATCCAGTATCGCTTCTACCCTGTCGCTTTTCAGACATTTTCTTAAAAACCAAGGTGCTTGGTTCTCACACCTCTGGAAGTGCCCAGGAAAACAGGAGCTGTAAGTAAGCACATGGTCAGTTTAAACTTTGTCAAATTTCATTTTTACATTTGAACAATAAAAGTACCATTGGTCCAATAACTCAGAAAAACAGTTTTAGAGTCCTCTATTATACAACTGTTCTTCTTTTCAAAGCTCTATACATTCAGTACCATGAAATCAAAATGCCATGATCGTCCCCCTGTAGATGTAAATGGGTAGTCCCCTGTAGATGTACACAGAGTATGTATCGTCTGTGTTGAAAATATGCTATTACATATTGTGTAATATTCTGTAATATTTTTAGTAGAGATAAAATAAATGATTGAACGTGCAAGTTAATTTAAGTGATCAAGAGTCAAAAAGAAAAAGAAGCTCAAAGACATATTAAGACAAAGAAAAGAAGCATGAGTAGAGATTTAGAGCATGTAGGAGAGGGTTAAAATGTGGATTAAAATGCTATAATCTAGAGTAGGCAGTACCTTAGAGAAAACCAATAAAGACTATGAAATAAAAGCAATCAGTTGAAGGAACTCTATTATGCTTTTATCCAAAACACAGACAAATACACCCTAAGAATAGACTGTTTCCAATGAGTTCAAGATTAAATCTGGGCTCAATCAGAAAAAAAAAAAAAAAAGCCTATCCATCATGGAGCTTACTGCATTCTTCTTCAGGAGAATTCTTCTTTCAAACATTTTTTCAGTGTTTGAAATTGGGGGAAAAAGAACAAAACAGGCTACTCATTCTCATATCTTTGGGGGTATTTGTAGAAATGTAATCATTCTAAAAGAAAAGAAATCTTTTGAGTTATCAAATCAATGAATATCATTTGAGCATCAACTTCGAAGGATATTATTGAAGTCACTATGACAATGGAATGAAGGGTAAGATGAGAATTTTTTTAACAGGATTATTACACTATTACCTCCTTCAAAAAAACCTTCTAAAGAGAAACAAGGATAAAAGCCACTGTTTCTCAACTTTAAAAGTAATTATGAAAAAATAATTATGAAACAGCTTTAGTATTTTATTAGTCACAGAAAAGAGAAACCAGAGGTTACTGAAAATATGCTATCACATATTCCATAATATTTTTAGTAGAGATAAGGAAAAATCCCCCAGAATATTGAAATAAACGTTGATTCCTTAAGAGAACCAAACACTTTGTCTATAGGGAATTGTTCATGGAGGAGTGGTGTCAGACTGCTGATAGGATGTGTCACCACTTTGTAATGTGTTGGCAGCCTGCTTGTCAACACAAGTGCTTATCACAGGTGGTTAATTGTAAAAATGAAAGCCAGGCCTTCTGGTTATCACTGGTGAAATGGCTGTGGTTTTGAATGTCACCTTTAACGTATTGGGGCTGAGCTGGTATTTAAAAATGGTTCTAACCCGCCCACTGAATCACTGGGAAACTTAAAAACCTGTAAAATGAGCAAACAAAATTGGACAGATTAGTAGTAGGTATCTACCACTGATTCAGACATAAGCAATACGGGACTTTTTTAAACACAGATCACCACCAGTTTCTAAATTGAGAGTATCACCCAAGCAAGAAACAAAAGTGTCCATGAGCAACTGTTTTGTAAAGCACAGGGTACACTCAGATTAGGTATAACCAAATTGGTCACTTGAGATGGTCTAAAATATAAAAATTCTGTAAATCGAAGAATCCTGAAGTTCAAGAGCATGTTTTGATTAGAGTATGTATTGCCTGTGTTGACAATGTCCGTAGTATCTTTATTTTTAAATGATAAGTGATTTGACTCTGCAACTGCATGAGTTTTTGTGAACACTCTGAAGGTTGCTTTATTCTAGTTTCTGATTTCCTTTTTGTCTATAACCCCATGAAATGGGTTTACATGCTCTTAAAAGAGAAAACTAAATTTGAATTTGGCACTTAGTCATATTTATACCCTAGAACATAAGGTGTTAGAGTATCCTGCCTAACTTGTTTATGCATAGCCAATTGTGGCATAATCCATAGTTTCTGCAACAGAATCCAAAGGCACCGATTTTAGAGGCTCCAGCTGCAACGCAGGTCAGCAATTTAGGAGGTCATTTCCTTTTAACAATTCAATCACATGCTTTTTAGAGATACTATCTTCGTACTGGGCTGATCCACAAAAGAAATTAATAGAATCTGTGAGAAATAAAGAAAATGATTTTTTAGATTCTGCCAAAATATAACAGTTGAAAGGAAAGACTTAATTTTCTGGGCTCACCGCCTAATGAATTCTAATTTTCATTGTGCCTCCTTAAAAAGAATATTTACTACATGGCTGGTTCTGTCAGATTTAGCCAAACACTCTAAGAGAAAACAACTAGGAATAGAAAACACATTCTGGCCCTATCCTCCCCAAATTTTTTTGAAAAGGTTAAAATGAAGATGGTTTGGTACTGAATAATAGATATGAAAACAAGTTGTAAAAATGGAGAAATGCCTCAGTGGCTTTAACAAAAAGCAACTTCAGTGTATTTGAAGCTTCCTAATATTTAAACAACAAAGCAAAAGTTCAACTTTTATTAAAATAGACTGTATTATGTTATATGTATGACAAATATATTACAATTAATCTCCTATTATACATAATTTTATTGCACTAATTTTAAAAAGTCTAGTCTTACCTTATTACCTTAATTCGCTAAAATAGAACATAAGTTTTGTTTTTGTTTTTGTTTTTTTTTTACCTATTTCAGAAAATGTTTGCAAGTTGTTTTATTTACAAAGTCAACTTTTAAAAGCTCACCAAAGTAAACTGGACAATAAACTTGGCAAAAATCGCCTTATAAAAGCAGGGAAAGCCCAAAATGACACTTTCTACAGAGAACCCACAGTTCGATTTTATTCAGAGTAAAGAAAAAATAAACTTTTTCTCATACTAGAAGAAATTCAGCCATAGGTTTGGAGTCTGTACTCAAACTACACAGGCAATAAGGACAATATTATGCTAATAAATTGATTTGCTGCTGCATTTGTCTACTGTTTGTCTAACATTAACAATTATAAACAGAGTAGTGCAACTAGTATTTGGAACCATCCTTATAGTGCTATAGTGTCAGGTACCACATTCCACTTCCCTTCACATGACCCGTTCTCTTTGCCTACCTGGGCTTCCTCCTCTTCAGTGAAGTCATGTTTGATATTGAAGGCTTTGCAAATCTCCTCAGGAGTTTTTCCCTTGATCATATTGGCAACAGTCTTGCCCGTAACATCAAGCAAACTTTGATGTCTAAGTAGTTCGCAGCCAGAATAAGTTCACAAAAATGATCCTTGGTCAACTTTCAGGAATTCTTGGTCGCAAATGGGGATATCTTCTGTTCACTTTTCTTTGTTCTCATCATCCTCAAGAGGAGGAGGGTCATCCTTCTGGTGTGTGCACTACTGAATGACCTTTTTTTAATATTGCTGCATTAACATTTGGTAGAACAACTGGGTCATCATCTTCTTCACCATCCATTCCCAGATCTTCCAACATGGTCTTGATTGTCACAGATTGTTTGGCATTTTCTACATCAACTTCAAATATCTCCCCATTAGAACTTTGTAACTTAATTGATGGCCAATTGTGGCATGATCCACAGGTCTGCAACAGAATATATAGGAATTCATTTTAGATTCTACGGCTGCAAAGCAGGTCAGTAATTTAGTACTTCTAACAATTCAGTCATGGTGTTGGTCTCAAGAAGATGGCGGACCAGAGCCTGAAGGGAGCCTGGCAGCATCCACACAAGGAAAGAAAAAGGCACAGGACAAGGCGACTCCGAACTTAAGAATTTTTAAAGAACAAAATTTCGTATTTAAAAGTTAATGTACACAAATGCAATGCTATTATATAATGTTTGGAAAACAGAGTCTTGTAAGAAAATAAATTACTATGACATCTCAAAATTTTTTGAGACAATCCCCCCAAACTACACCATATATCCTTAAAAGTTAACCTTAAAGTTTTCCTTTTTTTTCTTTTATAGTTTATTTCTTTATTTGTTGTTTTTAGATATACATGACAGTAGGGTGTATTTTGACATTTTATACATACATGGGGTACAATCCATTACAATTCTGATCCACTCTTGTGATTGAACACAATGTGGAGTTACAATAGTCATGTATTCATATATGAGCATAGGAAAGTTATGTCTGATTCATTCTACTGTCTTTCGTGTTTCCATCCACCCTTTCTTCCCTTCATTTCATTTATCTAATCCAATGAACTTCTATACTTCCAGTCCCTACCCTCCCTTGTTGTGGGTTATCATCCACATATCAGAACATTTGACCTTTGGTTTTTGGGGACTGGCTTATTTCACTTAGCATGATATTCTCTAGTTCCATTCATTTTTTAGAAAATGCCATAACTTTATTCTTTTTTATTGCTGAGTAATATTCCATTGTGTAGATATACCACATTTTCTTTATCGAATGTGAATGAGCTTTATCTGAGTGTGAATTGACCTGCTATAAACATTGATGTGACTGTGTCAGTGTAGTATGCTGATTTCAGGTCTTTCAGGTATAAACCAAGGAGTGGGATAACTGGGTCAAATGGTGGTTTCATTCCAAGTTTGCTGAGGAATTTCCATACTGCTTTCCAGAGTGGTTGAACCAAATTTCAGTCTCACCAGCAATATATAAGTGTACCTTTTCCCCCACATCCTCGCCAACATTTATTGTTACTTGTATTCTTGATAATTGCCATTCTGACTAAAGTTTTTTTAATCAGCACTTTCTAGGACAGAAACACTCATGTGTCATTGGTATGTTCCATCCACTTTATCAGTTCCAGATAAACCATCTTTAATGAATTTGGAGTGGTTATTTTGCATATAATCCCCAAAGATAAACTTAAAATAACCCTTTTTACTCTAAACTTTTTAAATTTGGATTCAACAGGAATTAGTGCTGCAGAAAGGCATATGTATCCAAACAATGTGCATAAGCCCAAGGTACTTTGGAAGGATTTTCTAACAGGACAATGGAAAGGTCCTGACCCAGTAATTGTCTGGAGTGGGGGGTCTGTTTGTGTGTTTCCACAGGAGAACAGCAGCCGATTTGGATTCCAGAGAGATTAACTAAAATGATTTCTACAGACCAAAAAGAAGATGATTTGGCTCAAATCCATAACAGCTGATATCCAAAACTCCAGTTTGGCTA